GGAACTATTATGGGAACTGCGTGTCGATTCAAGGGATAGAGGCGAAACATTTGACGTGGACATCACACTGCTGTTTCGATCCTCCTGTTCCTGCAGTAAAACATCCATCAATTTCATGCGTAATCGCAGCTGTCTTTCTTCAGGCAAGCTCATCAGAAATTGACAGTCACTATCCTGCTTCATTTGAGAGCTCTTTTCGAAGTAGCTCAACTTTTTAGATTCTATTTCGAAGAATTTGTCATCATAATTAATTCTTTTCTTTCCTCTTTTAAGCGGACTTTTGAAATGCTCTTTTTGTGCCGGAGACGTATTTACAGGTGCATCATTCTCGATATCTGATTGAAAATCTGGAGTAGAAAATGCATCATTATATTCACTTTGTGTTGTAATATTATCAGTGCCTGTCTCAATACAGGCGTCCGCAATGTCAGGAACACTACTCGACAGATTTCTCGGTTCAACAGTATCAGTTAGTAGGTGGTGAACGCAGCTCTTCGTCCGAAAAATCCAAACCAATCTGGATATTTCACAGTTCGCAAGTATACACGCGTTCACTGATGAACAGTGCTGCTACCAATGGACGCACTCTAACCTGATGCAAGCTGTTAGGATCGTTCGTCCGTTTCCGTGCATGTTCGGACGAACTCCTCATCGCAACTTTCCGCAGCTTTCCGCTTCCAATGGACGAGAGGCCTTAAAGCAGCGGCATGCTCGTGTGTATTCCCACCCTAACCTGATGCAAGCTGTTAGGATCGTTCGGCCATTTCCGTGCATGTTCGGACGAACTCCTCATCGCAATTTTCCACAGCTTTCCGCTTCCAATGTACGAGAGGCCTTACGCAATATTACAATATTATAAAATATAGTTCGTCCATGAAGGTTATAATAAACATGTTAAGAAGCCAAAGTTGGGCTTTTGCGATAGAATGTAACAGAACGTTTGAACGTTAGCATTTAATAGAACTTTATATTTGGACTTGGACGTAGTAAAATTTGTGACGCCGTTTAGATTGGTAAAACTACGCAGCATCGTCCCAGAACTTCCAGAATTACGTAATCGTTCGTAATCTTCACATTTAATAAAGTAGGTGCATGTTCGATGTGTGTGTGTGTGTATATATATATATATATGAAAGCATTACAGCTGAACTAAATTAATCCTACATTTTACACATTAGAACAACTTGTGTAACTAGAAAACACTGTACGCAGATACATTTAAACGTAACCTTAGTCTCGAACGTCTTGGTTTTCATTATGGTCTTGTTGTTTAGGCGAGTTCAACAATATTAAAACGGCGAATCGTAGGTCTGTTTCAGCTGCATCGATAGAACCGATTCCTACAGCAAATGATCCATTAAGAGAGCTTTTTGAAGCGTGTAAAACTGGAGATATTTCTAGAGTTAAAAAGCTAATATCGCCTCAGACTTTAAATGCAAGAGATACAGCAGCGAGGAAATCAACTCCTTTACATTTTGCAGCTGGTGAGTGTTTTCGTTTTTCTCATTGTCAATATTTCCATCAGGTATGTGGTGTTGGAGAAGGATGGAGAAGATCAGTTGGACCGATTATGTGAGAAATGAAGAGTCAGTCAGCAGAGGAATAGCCTACACGAAATAAGAAAACGGAAGGCTAATTGGATTGGTCATGTCTTACGTGGTAACTGCCTTCTAAAATTCTAAAAGGCCTTGATACACATAAAGGTTTCCATCCGAAGCCCACAGACATATCACCAGTTGATCATTCATAAAGTGCAAAGCGTCAGGCTGTCTTTGAACTACACCGTACAGCCCAGAAAGCACACTTTCAGAGTCCTCATATCGAACATGGTTCTAGTGTTTTAACATATTTTCATTGTTGATTCTAGTACAAGACCTACTGGTGTATAAGATGAGCTGAGACGTTTTGGTCCATTTTAAGGAAGAAAAATCCTGGGAATCCAGAAATATAACAGTTTGTTTGCCGTGAAGCAGATCAACCTCAGAGTGCTGCAGTTTCTGACTTTGATAAATAATTTACCGTAGAGTTTTTTTCAGTTTAAGAATTTCATAAAATAATCATGTGGCATTTTAATTTTTCAGAGGTGAACATAGATATAATGATAGCATCTTTTTAAGTGTACTATCTTGAAATGACGTATTTTTGCCAATTAGCTACTTCACCACAGAAATCTTTTTTAGAAAATGGTATGACCGTGGTCTTTGAATATGATGGATCTAATGATTGTGGACCTTTAGTGACTTGCTCATTGACTTTACCATTTATAAGTAAGGTATGTTATTTGACTGTTTTCCTTCAAGTAAATTAGTTGAGTGGATGAGTCACTGCTTTGAAGCTGTCTTGTGATCTGGTGAGGCTAATTTTTAGAGGCCAGGGCTTATTTATGTGCAAGTCAGAATTATCTGTGGGTCTTTCTGGCACCACATGGAGTCATGAGGTTGAAGCTGTTTAGACTTGTCAAGTCTAAGATGGTCAGTTCCACATTTGGTGGTGTATCGAGCGATTGTGTGTATTTCTGTCCCTATTTTCAATATTTCCATTAGTTGCTATTTTATGATAGTCACAAAAAGAGAGTCTCAAAATGAAAGAGTTTGTGGACCACTGTCACTGACTGAATGTTTTGTTTCTTTTCCTCCAGATGGATCCAGCTTCAAGAATGAACATCAAGCGTCCACCAAATGGATACATACTGTTTTGTAAAGAATGGCGCAGGAGGCTGGCAACGCAGTATGCCACAGAGAAAAGCAGCGAAATTAGCATAAGGTAAGCAGCAGCTTTCACTGCTGATACAGATTATAAGGTGGCAGGATAGTTGAGTGAGTATAGTGACGGGCTTTGGCTCTGGATATCCGGGGTTCAATTGTGGGCAGGGATGACAGATTTTTCTCTAGTTGAAAGCATCCTGACTGGCTCTGAGGCCCACCAGTGTCTCCTGTGCAGTGGGCACTGGGCATTATTTCTCCAGGAGGCCAAGCTGCCAGTGCATGAAGCTGACCGACCACTCACCCCTTTCCGTGCCAAGGTCCACAATTGTGGAACAATCCCTCCGCTCCCCCATATGTCTTCATGGCATTAGCTCTTAATTAAGCAGGTACAGGGACAACTTTATCATTATTATAAATTATGTGGGTGATAAGAAATTAATGTATTTTTGAAATAGTTCGCAATGCACAGAATTTTAAAACAGCAAGGAAAGTGATTAACTGAAATCCACTGTTAATCCATATCAGTTGCTCGTTGAATCTTCCGAGAATAACTTTCAGGAGAGTAACTTTGATGCAAATTATATCAGGTCAAGTAAACATGGAGGCGCTCTATTCCGTGATGTGGTGCACAACATTTCAAATGGTGATCTTCTATTTTATTAAAATTACTTAAGTTTTTTTGTATAATATTAGATTAGCAGCTGGTGATACACATGAAAAAATTCCATATATGACCGTAAATGAACTTTATTATGGGATCAGTGTGGCTGAAAATCTGAACTTGCACATTAATTTTTTGTGAAAGTCTCCATTTTCTCCTTCCATCTGTTTTTATTTTTCCAAAATCTGTCCAACTGTTCAGATGCTGATATTAGGTCGCAAGTATTCAAACTTTCAACACATTGATGCCAAGACTTCTGATATATATTATCTTATGAATATTGTCCAGACCTCGAGTCAGCAAAAGAATTTTTTTGTTTAACTATTTGCAGATCTGAAGAAATGCACTGAACATAACTTGTGTGTTTAATTTTTTCTACCCTTTTTGTTTATTCACCTCTTGAACCAACAGCTGTTTTTAACACTTGCCCTTGAGATGGGCACAGAAATGCATATAGGTCTTCATGTATATTGTCTGTTATTTTCTGTTCTATTTCAACCAAAGTTGTTGAATGGCAGCATTTATTGAAAATATTATACATCAAACCAATACAAGGTCATTCACAGATAGACATGACCTTCATGTAAGTCACCTAAACAGTGTAACGACATAACCATGCCTTGAGAATCAGACGAATTTTCAAGCCTGTACAACTGCCACCCTTATTATTCTTGCACCATGAATGTATGAAGTTGCCCTGTGCTTAATTAAGCACCTCACCAAGTAGACAGTAAGAAAGAATATGTGTATATTTCCACGCATTTTTAATAGCAACAATACATACGGAAGCATGTTCAGCCTCACCCCTACAGAAAGAGCTCCCCGATAAACAGAAAGCCCGACTGGACATGTGCAAAAGATAATACCTACCGATCCTGTCAGGAATCAAACCCCAATTCCTCAGTCATCCAGCCCCTAACCCAGTCACCACAATGGCTGAGCTATCCCTGCTCCATGTATATGAAAGGAGAATTAAACTATTGTCTAACTACAAGAAATGCCATCTGTGTAGCAAAGGGTGGACATGATTTTCTTTACTAGCCTGAAGGTCTCGAGTTCAAGTCCTGATGAGGTCATTGGATTTTTTGTTCAGTTGACCTAATCCTTCCAGATGTGCTATATCCCTGGGGTTCACTGAGCCGTGCTATATCCCTGGGGTTCACTGAGCCTCGCAGAAATGAGTACCAGGACCCTCAACGTCTCACAACCCTATTAGTAAAGCGCAGCCGGCGTGTAAGGCTGACAATCTTACCGCCATCTTTGAGCCAGTTGTCTAGATAATGTGGGACCCTCAACGTCTCACAACCCTATGGGCCTCCATGGCCTGGTACAGGGATAGCTTTACTTTTAATTTTCTTACTTACAAGTAAGTGAGAGTATATGACCACCCTGGCCCTATAATAAATAAATATGGAAAACAGTGACTTATCAGTAATCTCAACAAGTGCATAAGGCGGCTAGTCAGATTATGAATGGTTCAGTGAAAGAGCTGGCAGCAAATGGAGGAGGACATTTGGAACTGAATGTGTCACTTCTACTCCCTTCAGTATGTGAGTCCATACATTCCGATCACCAAGCATGAGCTGAACAATTTTCTGCAATCACATAACACCTTGTAGCCTCCTGCCAACTCTCTGAATGAGGCTACATCATACCTTGTATAGGCAAACTTAAGGGAGAAAATTTTGTGCATGAGTAGGTCTGAAAATCCAACTGATGTATGAATGAATGAAGTAAGTTACATAGAATTCAGCAGCTTTCTAATGATGCCATAGCGGTCTACATCACTGATGATGATGATGCTAACTTGTTCCTATAGTAGACGGAGCCTATGTTGATGCCACAGAATAAAGTTCCATGGATATAACCTCCCCTCATCTCCTTCGAGCTGCTGCGCTTCCACCTCTGGTGTAATTATCTGCACTCCACTTTCATTGTCTGAACATTCTGTTCGGAAGAATGTTAGCGGAGATAACACTGTGATGACTTTCACTAGCCACAAGGTCTTTTGGTTGACATAGGCCACAGGGTGATGGAAGGGAATATAACAGTGGGATAAAGGGGGAAGATTTGAGCGCTGTCAAAGAGGAGGCCCTATTTCAAAACATGTGAGAGAGTCTTGGAACAGATAAGTATTTGGTCATGAGTCACGACGAGTCCCGAAACTAAGAATAATTCTGTTGGCGAGGGTCAGCAGCAGATTACTTCACCTCACTGCACTGCAGTCATCCCTACCATCCACGGAACTTCTTTCTGTAGTACCAGTTAAGATGTTCTTACACCAACCCTCGCAACCTCATAGAATCTGACTTGTTTTACAAGTGTTTCCTTTCGTGATTTTCAGACTTGGTAAGATGTGGCATGCCTTGACATCGGTCGAAGAGCAGAAATACCTCAATCTTGGGCGACTAACGGCCCAAGAACACGGCCAGAGACATCCTGGTAAGTGATTTGCTTCAGTATTCTGTAAATGTCATCATGTGTAACATAAACTTTCATCCCCTTAAATTCCTCTGCTTTCTCCTGTATTCCTTTCTTGGCCTAAATCGTAGAACGGTGCATAGAGGCCGACTTTTAATGCCATGTAAACAAAAATGATGCATATAAATAGTCGCTCATGAAGCATGTCATTTATATGCTGTACCACACTTAACACATCTGCATCAAAATGTCAGTACCCAGAGAACAGACATGATGCACTGAGACAGAAGACTTGCCGTTCCTTTGTAATGAACTGTGTAACTTAACATTTGTTCAAGGTATCAGTGCTCAACAATTCATTTCTATGTTAACCTCAAGTTTCATAGTTGTTTCTATGTCTAATGCCTGCAAAATTTCCTTTGTATAGAGAGAAAGAATCAGACATTGAATTTCTCTTGGAAAGCACAAATTATGCAAGACAGAAAGGAGTGACTTGCACAGTGAATCTTGAAATTTCTGCCCCTGAGGTTTTTCGGCAGTTACTTGCTGATGAATTTAATTACGATTTTTATTGCAGATGGTTACTTTGTTGTGATTAATACTTATCATTGTGTTTGTTGAGATTTTATGTAGCGTGATCAGATCAAGGATGATGAGATAGGAAGGGCTTGTAGCACACGTGGGGGGAAAGAGCAGTCAATCTAGGATTTGTTGGGAAAGCCAGAAGGGAAGAGACCACTAGGAAGACGTCAATATATGTGGGAGGGTAATATTAAAATGTATCTTAGGGAGATAGAATGGAATGGTATGGACTGGTCAGAATAGGGACAGGTGAAAGGCTCTTGTGGACACTGTAGTGAACGTTTGGGTTCCATGAAATGTTTGGAAAATCTGGAGTAGCTGAGTGACTGGCCACTTGCCAAGAAGGACCCAGCTCCAATTTCAGGATACTCTTATCAGGTTGAGGTTGATCAAGAGTTTTGATATCAGGTGACAGCATGTATCACTGCAAAGCAGATTTCTAACTTGAAGCTACAGGAATCACTTTGAGGGAATGTAACCCCTGTGCACCTCTGTGGACTCTGGTCACACTGTTGTACACACATGAGAGGTCTCAGAGTGCTTAAAGTAAGTGTTATGACACAGTAAATGTTTGTGATGACCGCTGATTCATTATGTCACTGCTGAATTAGACGTCCGTTCAGATAAATAAACCTGACATGCTGGGAGTTTTCTGTACTCCCATTTTCAGGTAATTGTCAAAATAGGCCTACTGGCACCTTTGTTATTAGGCCAATTCCTTTTCTTGGGGAAAAAGGAGCTCTCTCATATCTCCGTGTTGTCTGTTTTTGTCAAGTTTGAGTACCGAACCAGTCACATGACACATGAGAGAGATAAGAAATGTTAACAGAATTTTAATTGGGAAACCTAAAGCAGAGAGAGAGAGAGGCTCTGTGAAGGCATTAATGAATTCTTGGTCTCATGAGATGTGGGGAGCATTTTGGCTAGCTGATTTACTACCCACTTATCTAGAAGGACTCTTCCGTGCCATAGCGGAGACATTGGTTGTCTTCAAAACTTGTGACGCAGGTTCAATCCAAGGTCGGGTGACATGGGATTTGTGGTGGACAGCGTGGTACTGGGGCAGATTTTCTCATGTATTTCAGTCCCTCCTGCCTGTCTGTACTGTTATCAACTGCTCAATATTCATAAATAATCCTATCTATGCTTTGTAGTCTTGATATCGACAGCGTCATTAAGTAATCAGTTTAGAAAAGAAAGGCTCTGTTCCATGGAGTTGATATATGTACGTAGTTTAGAACCCCGACGTATTAAAAACGAATAAAAGAAAGATGCATGTACTTTGGACCTTCTGCTTGCCTTATAAAAACTTAATACTTACCAGAATAGATTCCTATAAAATTACTGACTTTTGAGAAGATGTTTGTATGTTGGTATGGCTGTAATTGTTTTGTTTGCTGCATATTAGTGAACAAAATTAAACACAAATAACAATATATTTGTGTTAAATATCAAAATTTTTAAGAAAATTAAAATCCACTGTGTGTTTAGAAGTTTGTGCTTGCTTTTGAACAGTGGTGTTACGAAAATTACTAAGAAGCCTTCTCCCGTGTGCATGAGCAGGTCCTGGGAAGAGCTTAATAAATCTTTCACCTGTTGTGGAGTGCTCTGGCAAGAGCTGGTTGTTGTAAATGTACGGGAAGAAATAGTTTCGTGCAGGGGACTAGATCTTGATTTCCGGCAGGGCAGGAATTGTTCTCTTTGCTACCGCACCCGCTAACCGGTCCGACAAGCATACTGTAACCACAGGGTGCCAAAGATGATTTCCTCAGCAATAAAGTGCCTGGGATGGCCACCCATCTCCGTCTGATGCTGAGGATAAGAATGCATTCATGTGTCTACATAGCTTGGTGCTTAATTAACCCTTTAATGATGGAGGACATTTAATTCCTACTCACTCTTTGGGAGGGAGGGTATTTAAACATTTAAAACTATAAATGTAACACTTCACTTAAAGTGTAATAAATTAGGAAAAACTGGAATCCCCCCTCCCCAATTTCACACTACATTCAGAAATGTGTATAGAATCGGTGTATTGATCCACACTGCTTCAGAATTATTTTTTGGTACAGTAAGTCTATAAAAATTAGGAATAATGTTATCATATTGTCTTAGAAATTCAGCTGGGTGTGTTAGTCGTGAAAACATTCCACACGGAGTCCCACGTGACATGTGTCACACCAGTACATAGTTTTTGACACACAACATGCCGTGTCTGTGGTTTTTGATTTCTTTGCAGTTGGTGGAGTCTTGCTTATAAAATTTCTTTCTCTTAGATTGGGCACTGTTTTGTCTGACGAGTGTCGACCTGGCACTTTGTGTTCTACAGCATTAGCATATTTCACAGAGAGTCCCTCAGTTAACTGAATTCTAATTGACAATTGATCTGTTCTTTTCCTTGTGTTCTTCCTGCATATTATCTATCATCACATTCAGAAATATTCTTTTTGTCCTTTATAGTTTTTCATATTCTCCAAATGGATCTTTGTGCTTTTCTTGATTCTGTCATTTACCACAGAATCCAGAAAAGCAGAAAGTAATTCCAAATCTGATAAAAGCTTGTCCTGGTTCGGTTTGAAGTAAATATATTCTGCACACAACACGGCTGGCCACTGTGTTCCTTGCTGCTGGCCTTGGCTAACCAGACTTCATGGTGCATATTTATAGAACAAAGGGGAATTACAGTAGTAGCTCCGCTTGTTATACTTCAAATCAGACAAGTGGGAAACAACCCCTCCAGCAGCACATCTGCTGTTGTGTCACAGCGGGGAAGTGTTTGCTGGCTTGGCAAATAACACGCGACAGCTAGTAGAGCAAACACATATGCAGTCATGGATCATAAGTCAAAGAATTAAAGGGGAAAGAAGTCTCAATTCCCAACACCATGTAGGGACTCTGCTGCTGAAGGGTTAAGCAGAGGACATATTAACATTTCCTCTAATGTAAAAATTACATGCAAAATTTACAAACTTTCGGTGATTGAGTGACGATAGACAGGGTTTGGATTGGTAATTTCGTTTATTGGACGTGTTAATAGACACAACTCATGACTGCACTTTACAAATCACTGTCACACAGACTAATGTTTTCTGTCGCGTTCCCCTTCCTCTGGGTTCTCGAGCTGACCCTGGGATCGGCTACTGCAGCACTGCTTCCCACTGTTCCTCCGTTGTTGTGTGCATACATTGCTTAGCGATGGCTCTGGTAGTGTCACATGCTTACACAATGGTATCCTAGCAACAGGCATGTTTTCTGAGCCGTTCCCTAGCAGCAGCCGTCTCTCCTGGCTTCAAAGTTCTGACTGTCAGGAGACATGCCACAACACTTTCTTCAAAACCCGCAATCCTGTCTGCTCTCAGTACCTTACAGTTCAGCTCAGTACGGAATGGCCTAGAGCTAGTAAATTTAAGATATTAATTTGTTAACAGGAATGGTGTGATTCAAAGTTGCGAGTCACATTGTTATGAATTGGACATGGAGGATCTCATTTTGAACAATTTATGTAAATTCAGTAAGTAATACAAACATTTATAATGTATGTTTGCGTGAATTTTACTGACCAGTTAATCAGCATTAAGGAATTTTGCATGGCCATATTCAAAGTGTAATGCACGGTTAGTGTAAACACATTTTTATCAAATTGTTGGTGTTGGACATGTCTGAGATTTTACTCTGTCTGTTCCTTGAATACTGGTCTCATTTTTATCTGTTCCTGTGCAACTCAGTCAGAATCCCGTAGGGTTCTATGTTTCTTCTTTCTGCTTTACTTCATAACATGTGTTGGTCTAACCGGTCATCATCATAAGTACAGGGTATTTTCAAGGTGTCTGCACTGCTTTCTTTTAGATATATTAGATGCTTCTGGATGTTTCATTCAGGTTATGTCACATCATGCCTTTGTGTCTTAATCATGTGTTTGGTTTATGTTTGTTGAGTTTGGTTCTGCATGTTTCCACACATATAATTGTCTTTTCTGACTCCATAGCCATGTTCTGAACTGTTTACCGCGCACCTGTTGGATCGGAGGAAATTTTCCAGGTGACTACAAATGCTATGCCAGCACCCAAATCTTAGTTATTTATCACCTTTCAGAATGAAGGAATAATATGACTTTGATTTTAGTTTTTGTTTGCCTGACATCCAAAGACTAGCATTCTCTCATTATTAAACTGATACCAAAGTACCGTATTTACGCATGTATAGGCCGTGTGCGTGTATAGGCCGCAGCACAATTTTCAGAAAGAAATTATTGAAAAAATAATTTTCTTGGAATATTATTTCAGGAGTAGAAATTATTCCGAAATTTGGCAATGTTTAACATTCCTAAGTTCGCAACTAGCGAAAATAACGGTACCGCTCGGAACAAAGGCATTGCAGGGGAGAGTTATAACCTTTTCGCCTTTACTTGACTTGCCTGGTTAGTTCTGAGTGAAACATGGGTCGAGTAAGAGCAGGTTATACGTCTAAATTTAAACTTCATGTGGTGTGTTACGCACAAGAACACGGAAATCGAGCAGCAGGGAGAAAATTCGACGTTGACGAAAAAAATGTGCGAAGATGGATACTAACGAAAGATGCCCTTGAAAAAACGTCACAAAATCGACAATCTTTCCGCGGAAAGAAAGCTAAATTTCCAGAACTTGAAAATAAACTTTTGCGATACGTGCGTAATACACGGGCGGATGGATTTTCAGTGTCTGTGGAAATGATTCAATTTGAAGGCCTCAAAATAGCGGACAGAATGAAAATTCCTCGTAATGAATTTAAGGGAAGTTATGGATGGGCAAGGCGCTTTATGGCCCGACATGATCTTGTAATTCGGCGACGGACGTCAATAGCGCAGCGCCTTCCCGACACATACCAGGAGAAACTGCTTGCATTTCAAAAACATGTCCTGAAATTAAGAAAGACGCACAACTACACCATGGGAGCTATTGGAAATGTTGATGAAACTCCTGTGTTCTTTGAAATGCTGGGTGAAAGTACAGTGAACAAAGCAGGTGAAAAAACGTGCATGTGCAGACTGCAGGAGCAGAAAAGCAGCGGTGTACCATAATGCTTGGTATCACTGCTGATGGAAACAAACTACCACCATTTGTAATCTTCAAACGCAAAACATTGCCGAAAGAAAAGCTTCCACCGGGAATTTTGGTGAGAGTTCAAGAAAAAGGATGGATGACAGAAGAGCTCTATCTGGATTGGTTGAAATCAGTGTGGTTTCGGCGCCCAGGCGCACTTTTACGTCAGCGGTCAATGTTAGTGGTTGACAGTTTTCGAAGCCATTTAACTGAAAATGTGAAAGTGAAGATGAGGCAGGAGAAAAGTGATATGGTTGTGATACCAGGGGGGATGACTGGCATGTTACAACCACTTGACGTGTCAATAAACCGTCCTTTCAAGTCTCATTTGCGGCGCTTTTACCGGGACTGGAGATGCGGTTCCACGGAGATGACGCCGACTGGACGATTGAAGAAACCTTCATTAAGTCAAATGTGTGAGTGGATTGTGGCTGCATGGAACACCATACCAGAAGAAATGGTTTCCAAAAGTTTTAAAGTCACATCCATTTCCAATGCAATGGGCGGGACTGAAGATGACGCTGTATGACTGACATCACCTGACAGCGAAACTTCGAGCGAGAGAGACATCGACAGTAACGAGTCAAGTGATGAACAGTAATGTGGTTCAGTTACCGTGGACTAACTTCAGAAAGCGTCGCATAATTTATTCATGCGATGCAAAGCATGTTTGCAAGCAGAAGGGGGTCACTTTCAGCACCTGTTATAAAGCACGGTAAGTTTGTGTTATCTTTTTTACAGTATTCTTATAAATGTGTGCATGTACAGAAACTGATGTAAGGGTATCAGCGACACGACTGCACTCTCGCTAGCAGGGAGGGGCACAGTAATCGCGGAGAAACGTTCCAACCGCTCTATGCTGCTGCCCCGGTTTCCTCGATCTTTGAACACCCTGTATTACTAATTATGAATATAATTTTTTAAATGAAGTGTGATTTCGAATATTTCGAATATAAGGTGCACCCCAGTTTTCCTCTTGAATTTTTGGCAAAAAATGTGCGGCCTATACATGTGTAAATACGGTAATTACAAATTAACATGTTTATTTTAGGAACAGAATGGCACAGTTGGGAAAGATTTTGATGCAACGCAGTATGTAGAGCACTGGTATTTTAAGTCCACTTCTAGTCAGTATGTTGGACATGAGTGAATGGTAGTGGTATATGTTGCACGATTTTTTTGTTTTTGCCTGGCTTCTAAAATGCCTTCTACAATTTTTGGCCCTCTTTTCAGTCCTGAATGATTCATTTGGTTTCAAACTAAAGTGCAGTTTTTAGGTGCCAGTCACTGTCCATTCCTTTGAAGAGGTTGACCATTTTGTTGTAATCATCTGTTCCAATCATTGAACACACATTTAGCTACATACATTTTAATGTCTTTGTAATACCCTCTTCTGCCACTTCAGTTTTACAAAAAAGGTGTCCCTTTGTAAGTTTAGCCCCACTTCCATGTAATGAGTACAGGAGTGATATTTTGGCCGCCAAGGAAGATAAGGCTTATCTGTCAGTGAGAACGTTTGTTTTTAGTAATTTATGTTTATTGAAATGTTACTGGGCTACATGTTTTGGTCATTTGATCATCATCGGGCCTTATGATAAAATGTTTGTCATTGTTTGTTACTGACCTGCTTACACAACAGATTCATAATGATGTAAAAACAAGACTTTGGAGGCCAGTGTCTTCTCTTTATTGGCCTTAGATTATGGTCCAGTGGTGATCACTTGTGAACACAGTAATGAACCCTTAGACTCATTAAAAGGGTAGAAAATTCCTTGGCCAAGTGTGAAATTATTAGATTCTTAACAGTAATTCTTTAAAACATTTTGTTCATCATCATCTGCAAGGGTTGAGCAGTCCTCAAACGTCTAGCCACAATTTGTCAGGATTATAAGTAACCCTTTTACACTCGAGCTGGTCACCAGCCTTTTGCAAATCTCCCTATCTTGGAGGACCAGGGTTTTTATGCAGGGTTTCCATCCTACAGACAGGGTGCCTACCTGCCACTTAACCCTGGGAAGGGACCCTGCGACTCCTGCAGTTGGACTGTCTCTTTTGAGAGTTCCAGCATGTAGCTTTTAAACATTTTGTTTAGGTTTGAAAGTTTGTAATTATATACCAATTTTACACAGAACAAAAAGAAAATGTGGGGCACAGAACTGTAGAAACTGGCGCATAGGTCTCTGTAGCTGTTTCAGGAGGCAGCTTCAGGTATTTTGTCCAGAAATTGCATGTGTTTGGGTTGCTTCTGTAATAATGGATGGCACTGTGCTAAGGGCCTTCTCTCTCCCATGCCAGTGGTGTGGTGAGAACCATTAATGGAATATTAACTAACCAACTCCATGGAGCTGAGTCCTTCTTGAAAAGCCGCAAGTTGCTCAGCTACTCACGAATTTCCCAACATTTTATGGAGCCCCACCCTCCATTAGTTCCTACCCTGAGTCAGATCAGTCCAGTGTNTCATCCTATCTAAGAATCATCTGAATTTTATCCTCACCTATGTCTAGGTCTTCCTAGTGATCTCTTTCCTTCTAGCTTTCCCACCAGTATCCTACATGCGTTCCTCTTCTCCCTGATTCTTGCTCCATGGCCATCTCATCTCTGAATTTATCATTCTAATTACCGTATTTACGCATGTATAGGCCGCTTGCGTGTATAAGCCGCACCCCAGTTTTCCTCTTGAATTTTTGTCAAAAAATGTGCGGCGTATACATGCGTAAATATGGTATATCTGATGAGCAGCATAACATATAAATTCATTTTGTAATTTTTAATGGAAAGCTACAATCTAAAAATCATTCTTTCTCTGCTCAGACTACAGCTACAACCCTATTGAGGCCCAAAGGCAAAAGGCTGCTCATGTGGGCGCCCATAGGGTGAAAGGCATGAATCCAAAGGGCCATAAGGTAACTAACACCCTCGGGGTCAGTGGGAAAGGGGCCTGTAGCCGCCCCAGTCCTGCGTCATCAAGGGTAAGTAATTTCACACCATACACTGTGAAACTTCTCCAAATTACTGCTCTTATTCAATGAATTTCTTTCTCAGTATCTTTGGGTGGGGTGGGGCTGATTACCATGTGGCCTAGTGTATCAACCCAGGAATGATG